TTGGGAAAAATTTAGGATAAACCATTATATTAACAAGTCATCTTTATATAACCATGAAAATTACTGGAGTGAAGCATATAAAAAGAGAACAAATACTTAAAAATTAAGCAAAGGCATTAGAGGAGAAAGCAAATATTTGCTATAATTGAAATCACGGTTCTTTGGGAGGAGGGAGATATAAATATGAGATGGGAGGAGGTAAGGAATATGGAGTTACGGGTTTGAATCAGGCATCAGTATGTACTTCGGACTTATGGAATATTCATATTTTCTAGTTTTCTCCACCAAAAGGCCCCTGAAGCAATGACACCCCAGTAATAATGAAGGTGAGCTAGAGCCCATATCTTGGTTTCTAAATAGTGAACCAGAGTCCCTTAGAGAGATGGCTAATTCCAAGTCTAGGGCAGGGAAAAGCATAAGGTGAGCCTAGGAAAATCTTGTGCCACCAAGTATGGAAACACTCAGTGAATGACAGAGGCATGTTAAAAGCACACAGCAACTGGCCTGAAAGGGCTCCTGCTGGCCAAACACAGGGTAATTTAAGCAGCAAAAGAATAATAATGTTAAGAGATTCTAGCTCACTGGATAAAAAAGAATGTCTGGCTCCATACCAACATCATACTAGAAAAAATGAGGGAACTTTCTAGAACATCTGCTAAGAAAGGAAAAAACACTCAGATTAGAAAAATCAACGCTTAATAACCACCAGAGTAATGACTGACTGACTCAGTAAGAGATCCAACATGGATGCTCATAAAACCACAGTGGTGAAAGGTTGTGGAGAAGCAGGTTATTCAAATCTTCTCAAAATATCACCTTATGGATTACTTACTAATCTCAAAGTTAAAAAAAAAAGGATACCTTACAATGGTGACTGGTAGATACCTAATCTTTGCAAATGACCAAACTTTGTCACTAGTGATGGCACAAAATGACCCTTGCTGTTAACCTGTGTAGGAATATTGTTGCCAAAAATGTTTAGCTTGAACCTAATCAGGTGAGAAAACAATCAAAGATTGCAAGACATTCTATAAAATAACCTAAAAAAAAATAACAAAACTCCTAGACTTTGCAAAAATGTCATAAAAGACCAAAAAACTAAAAGCCCTACAAACAACGGGGGGGGGGGGGCTGATCTTATTAAAAAAGACTATAGAGATGTCAACGAAATGAAAGGAGGGATTCTTAGATTCTGGATTGAAAAATTAAAAAGCTATAAAAGGCATTTGGGGACCACAGGAAGATCTGAATACCCACTGGATACTTGGTAATACTACTGTATCACTCTTGAGTCTGTTGTGTGCGACAATGGTATTATGGTGTAGCAGAAGGTGTGATGCTCCTCCCAGATCCCACCCTCCAGCAGGACTTAGGGGTATGATGTCCCCCCAGCTTCTGGAACTGTGTCAGGACACAGCCCTCAGCACTTAACCCTCTTTGGAATCCTCAGCTGGAGACTGCCCTGCCCCAGGTCACAGCCCCCTCCCTCCTGGGCAGCCCACACCCAGTGCCTGCTCAGTGTGGGAATATAAAGCCAGTCCCCCTTGTCTGAACTCACAGGATGTCTCCCTTCCCCCACCCCCACCTCCTTTCCTTCCCTGGGTCCTGATCCCAAGAGCACTCCTATAGACGGATCTCCATCTCAGAGGCTGCTTCCTGGAGAGTCTCACTTGGGGCAATTTTTTTTTTTTTAAAGATTTTATTTATTTATTTGACAGAGAGACACAGCGAGAGGAGGAACACAAGCAGGGGGAGTGGGAGAGGGAGAAGCAGGCTTCCCGCTGAGCAGGGAGCCCCATGCCAGAACTCTGGGATCATGACCTGAGCTGAAGGCAGATGCTTAATTACTGAACCATCCAGGCGCCCCATCACTTGGGGCAGTTTGTACTGGAAGGGGTGGAGGCAGTAGATACTAAGACAGGAGGATTTTAGGAGCTGGGTCAGCCACTTGGCTGGCCCTGAGGACCTCAGCACTGGTGGTAGATGGAGCATGATAAGCCCCTGGCACAAGGTAGGTAGTTCCAGAATGTGCAGGTTGTAAAACTTTTACCAGGGGTGAACTAGGGCGGTATAAAGTGGAAACAAGCTGGTATGAGGTATCAGTGTTCAGATATTCAAGCACTGGTACTTTGCTGCGTACCAGTCAGAAGCCACGCGAATGAACTCATGATAAGAGAAGTTAAGGGGTGAGGGAGAAAGGCACCTGGTGAGTTTTAAAGATGGTTCCCAGAACAAGGGCGGGTGAAACAGACAGATGGGCAGCCAATGAGTGGGCTCCTCAATCTGTACCACCAAAATAATTCACGGATAGACAACTAGGTGACTGAGGACAGTCGCCCCAATGAGCAGCCATGATTCCTTGCCCAACGTCTGGATCTGAGCCAATTTTCAGACAGAAACTCTTAAGTCTTTAGGAAGAAGAACTCAACACCAAATGGAGAGGGTAACGATTTCCCTACTCCTCCAGCAAAGGAACCAACAGTCACTTACTCAAGTAACCACCCACTGGAGAAAGGAAATAAACATTTGGAGGATTGGCGAACACAGAGGAAGAGTTGAGACTGAAACCAGGAGGTGCAGAGTCATTGTGGGCCTCTGTTAGAGTGGGGGCAGATGAGATCTAGTAATAAATGAAGTACTAGGTCCCAGGGTTAATGGGCCCAGTCAACAATCAATTCCCTGACTCCTCAATGTGTAGTTACATTAGACATACAGGGAAGTTGGCACAACCTCCACACTGATTCCTTGGCCTGTGGGGTCAGAACTGTGGTAGCGGGGAGCCCGAAACAAGCTTTTGAGATTGGTCCTGTAGCTCAGGGAGAAGGGGAAGGGAGAAATTAGTGGCATCCTTAAGGACTCGAAGAATGCAGGGCCAGTGGTCCCCATCGTATCTCCATGTATCATTTGACAATTTTGGCCCCTACAAACGTAACTCTCAGTGACCCACCTGCGAAACTGTTCTTGTCCCTGCAACTCTGGCCCCTCCAGGTTGACAGTTCTAATTTGCAAAAGGGGGAATGCTTTCACCACAGGACACACAGGAGTCCCACTGAAATACTAGCTACAGTTGCCAGTTGGGCACTTCAGCCAGGGGTCAGCATGCAAGGAGTAATTGACTCCGATCATTAGGAGCCCATGCTGCAGTTACACAGTGGGCAGCAAGGAGAAATGGTTGACACCCAAGTGGTCTGGCTGGGTGTCTCTTGGTACTCTCTTGCCCAATGTTGCTGGACCACGGACAGGTTCAGCAGCCACTGGAGCACTCCTTAATAAACCTTCTGCAGGCTGATCTCCATCCCAGAAATAACTTCCTGGGGAAATGAACCTGTGACATGGTTATGTGGGGGGAATATCCTTGCTTTGAGGAGATACATGCTGAAGTGTTTCTGAGTTAAGTGTGATGAAGTGTGCAACTTATTTTCAAACCGTTCTGAAAAAAAAGTATGTGTGTATATGTATATAGTAAATGCAACAAAGTATTAACAATTGATGAATCTAGGTGAAGTATATGCCTGTGCTTACACTTTTCCATTTCAACTTTGCTGTAGGTTTGAAATTTTCTGAAATAAAAGATTAAGGAGTTGAACACACACACACAGAGGCAAGTGAAGGAGGGTCTAATATAGAGATTAGAAGGAGCCTCCAGAAATATTGAAGGGACAGCAAGATAATAAGGTATTGTGAAATCCAAGGTATAAAAGAGTTTCAAAATTAAGGTAGTGTTCAACAGTAACAAATGGCTACAAAATGGTCAAGTAAGGTTAGGACTAAAAGTCCTAAGGCTAAAACTCCCATGAGTTTGCATCCCAAAGGTCCCCGATAATCTTGAGGACACAAGTGTCACTGAAGAAAATATTATAGGCACCCCACCACGGAGCACCATTTCTTCATAATTGTCATTTGGCTGAAGCACCACATTTTCAGTTCTACTGTGGTTTTGACTTTCAAAAAAAATTGAATATCTATTATGTTCACAGTTCTGGAATACTCCCTGTAGGGAGAATGTAGATCCATTCAGAAACACGATTTATTGGGAAAGGCACATAAACTCAAATACTAAATGCACTGTGCCAAGTAGAAGAATAGAGAAATTGACAGAGAAATACAGAGGAGAGAGATGAAGGGAAGGAAGGAAGGAAGACTCTAGAAGCTTGGGGTGGAGGTGGGGGGAGCACAAACGGGCATATTTAAGAGATCATTAGATCAGCCATTACAACTGACTACCCATAGGCTGGGTAATATTTATAACTCGAGATATTTATCACAAAGTCCAGAGTTCCGGTCATCTGGAGAGATCTGGCGACACCTGACTGGGGCTGGGAGAAGAATCTGGAGTAGACAACAGTTCCCCATTCTCTCAGCCTGCTTCATCGATTTAAGGTACTTATTTGCCCTCTGTAGGCAACTGAGTTTTATTGAACCCAGGGCTGGGATTAGAATGAGGCGAGTGACGCAGGAATTTGGGGGAAGTGGTTTAGATTTTTTTAATACTGTATTAAAATATGATTGATCTTCAGTTTTCTTGTGCTCCCATAAATTTTGCACCGAGGCCAGTGTCTCACTCGCCTGATTCTAACCTCTGAGCAGCTTGGGTTTGATTTAAGCTATACATGGTAAGCAGCAGCATAGGCAAGATCAGATCAGATCCGCGTTTGGGGGCACTTAAGTTCCCACGCTCCAAATGCCGCCCCTGCACTCACAGCCTCTCAGGTTCCCACTTCTAACACCCGCATTTCAATTTCATATCCTGACTCCCGCTTTTGCCCCTAAACCACTGACGGTCCCCTCTCCCTTTCCCTCCAAGGGAGCCCACCCAAGGCCCCGAGCACCTGCCTCCTCGGGCGCATCCTCCACCTGCGCTCAGCACAGCCGTTTCCTGCATCCTTCCAGGCCCAAGAGTCGCTTCCGACACCATCGCTCTGCTCCCACAGGGCGGAGCTTCCTCATTGACGCGATCAGCATTCGGCTAGTGCTGCCTCGCCCCGGCGACCGTCCAGCGGGAGGCGGAGCGAGTCCAAAATGGCGGCTCTCAGGCTGGCGCGCTCCGTGCTGCTGGCGCTTTGAGGTGGTCGCCAGGGGTCGGGGGGGACGATTTCCCCGCCGCGGGGGCCCTAGAGGATGAATCGAGGGCTCTGCTAAGGTTAGGCGGTGAGGGTGGAGAGAGTGGCAGCAAGGGCTGCGGTGGAGTCCACGGAGCGGGATGTGCGAGAGTTACTCCAGGTCGTTGTTGAGGGTCTCGGTGGCGCAGATCTGCCAGGCGCTGGGCTGGGACTCGGTGCAACTCAGCGCCTGCCACCTCCTCACGGACGTGCTGCAGCGCTATCTGCAGCAGTTGGGACGGGGCTGCCATCGGTACTCTGAGCTGTGTGAGTACCGGGCTGGGTGCGGGAGGGCTGCCTCTGGCCAGTCACGAGTGACACCTCCGGTCTTCCCTTCTCTATCTCAGCGTCTCCAAGGTGTTCGTCCTCTACCCCTACCCCGAGATCGGGCATTTTCTCGGCCTCTGACGTCCCTCGGGTTCCACTGCCCCTGGAAACTCCAGTCATCCCTTTGGTGCCTCTTCCTCATCCACTAACTTCCCGCCTCCAGCCGGGACCCCTGTCTCCGCTCTCAGCTCCACACCCTCTCACGTCTTCTCTGATCGGAAATATGCATCGGTCTTTCTCATCATCTCATTTTTGCTGCGTGTAGAACCACCTCCAGAATGCCTTGCAGCGTCTTTTACTTTGGTCCTTTTCCTCCCTTGCCTGCAAACTACTACAACTAGTTGTCACAGGCGCTCCGTCTACCGGCCGTTTCTTACAAGGCTAGCCATTCTTCAGCTCATAACAACACATACTCGTTGACAGCTCTGCTCCGTTGGGGACACTGCCTCTTCTTTCTGTATCTGTTCATTTCATAGAGGTATCTCTGTTTACTCTTTCCCAAGGCCCACTTTGTCAGTTTCACTTAGATTAACTTTCACTTACATCCCCGTTACTCACTGATTTCCTCCTCGATATTTTTATGTCAGTGGTGATCAAAGTGTAGTAGAGGGAACATAGGCAATTTACAAGGGTCCCCAGGTAGTCTGGGCTGTAGTACTTACGGCTTTTAAGTGAGTGTCCAGTAGTATCTATAGCTGATGGCATTTAATAATTCGGAATACTTAATAGAAACCACACAGCATCCCACTGATGTGAAGTAAGTATGTGTGTGTATATGTGTATGTATAGGGGGAACTGCCATTCACTGAAATTTCAGGTCGTTACTCTTAAGGTGGGTAAGCTGGACAGCTGGGTAAAGTGTTTCATAAGCTACTTTGCTTCCTTAAAGTGGTTCCTAGACTGGAAAATTGAGACCCTCAGGTACACTTTACTTCTTGAGCCCCCATTTCCATTCCTGCTTCGACAGTGCTGCCAAAGTAATCTGTCCATAACACACGTTTGATCGTGTCATTCTTAAAAATATTTTAACTTGTACACCATTGCTGACAGGCTGAAAATCTCAACTCTTCAACAGCATATTTTCTTCATGAGCTTTTTCTTACCTCCTGCTGTTCCTATTGCAGCCATGCTAAACTACCTGCCTTATCCAGAACATTTTAAACTATCCACTCCTATACACATGGGGTTTCCTAGAGTATCCCTCACCCCCTGGTGCACCGCTGGTACTACTTCTGTTTTGAAATTCACTTATCACTTGTTTGGGGAAACTCATATGTCATCTGTTCTCATAATCCTGCGCATATTCCTGTATGTAACACCTTGTTTTGTCATCATCTGTGTCTGTTTCTCACCCTTTATTTTTCTTCTCCCCAGACGACAAATTTATTATATTTGTATTCTGTAACCTAGTACAGTGCTGTCATTTACTAAGCACCCAGGAGATATTTGCTGAATAAATGAATGAACTGATAGCCTACTACCATAATAGCTGTTTGGTCACCTGACTTTTTGAGTTCCAAAATGTGGTATTTTTGGAATGCTTGATTTCACTGATCCTTCTAATCTAAATATGGCACTGCAAAGTAACTCTCATTCATGGTTATCTTGAAAGTACACCACCAGCACACTGTTCTCTCGGCTTTCGCTTCTTTTCCTTCCCTCTCCCTCTTCATGGTCCTTGAGTATATACTGTTGCGGTTATGCATAGTCCAGATTATATTTTTGCTACCAAGTTCCCTAAATAAGGACAGATGTTCTGTATTTTTAGGTATTGAAAATATCCCCTGAATACATAGTTACCTTTCCTGCCTTATACACAGAACCAGAATATGTGCTGGCACTGCAAGTAACCAGGTATTCCAAAGTCACCAAGTAATCACTGTTATGTGTTAATGTTAATCCCTTTTCTAATTACCCAGTTTTGGCAGCCAGTTTTCTTGCTTTTAGTGAGAATGTGATTATCAGGTTCATTATTCTCCATCATAGTTTTGTGACTTACTAAAAATGCTGATTCCTGGTATACTTATTAGTTACAGACTTTTTAGGTTCTTTTTTTATACTATCCTAGTTTTAAACTCAAATTTTGATCTCAGGTTACCACTGTGCAGTCTTCTCCTTCTTTAAATCCTCTTTGTCTTTTTGATAACATTCACTGAGCACCACTGAGAACTGAGCACTGGGGCCCCTGGGTGGCCCAGTTGGTTAAGTGTCCGACTCTTGATTTTTGCTCAGGTCATGATCTCAGGGTCATGAAGTCAAGCCCAGTGTTGGGCTCTGCACTCAGTGCACTCAGTGAGAGTCCACTTGAGAGTCTCTCTCTCTGCCCTTCCCCCTGCTCATGCTCTAAATAAATAAATAAATAAAATCTAAGAAAAAAAGAACTGAGCACTGTGTTGGAGATATCAACGTCCTAAGGCACAGCCCCTGCCCACAAGTTGTGGACAAAGGTGCAGACTGTCAACAAAATAAACTGATGATGTTTGCTCCTTTTAAAAAAATTGTTCTCAAGTTAAAGCAAGTATCAGAAGTTGCTATTAATTCGCCAAGTGATGCATTTTTAAATTTCCCTAAGGTAATGATTTGTGAAAGCATTCAGGGCAGATATTTCTCGGTGTGTCGTATTATGTATTAAAAAATATGTGTGCGCGCACTGAAAGTAGATTTCAGAATGACTCTTTAAGACTAGTACTTGTAACTTAATAATTGCATGATATAGGCAGTAAATGCAAAAGGAAGAAGGTAAAGGAAGATGATTGTGGGCTGGGGCAGGATGACTGCACAGGAAAGATGAGATTTGAGTTGAGCTGTGAAGCCTGCCTACATAGAGGTGGGAGTGGACGCCGGGCTAGAGAAAAGCATCACCTATGATACCCAAGTAGGACTGAGTGTAATGAAAGTACCAGTGAGGTGGCCAACTTGACATATGTGGCCAGTTCATTAGGAAGGTGTTACAGGAACATGTGAAATCAGATTTGGGGGGGACGTAGAGGAAATGAAAGCATGGTCAGAAACACTGCATGTTTCTAAGGAGGGAAACAGTATGATGAAAGTGATATCTTAAGAAAATTGTGCTCCCGCTGAGTGCAAGAGAGACTCAAGTGAGGATACCTGGAAACTGACCTAGGAGAGCGATGGTAGGAAGAGAGGGAAGGAAAACGTTCTGAAATCTGTGGCCAGAAATGGACAGGAAGAGGGGAGAACCAGAGGGTCTTGCGTTGAAATTGCAAAGCATATGGAGGGATTCAAGATGATCATTTATTCTGGACTGAGAGAATACTACTGCTTTTCTTAGGAATAGAAGAGTTGAAATGCATATCTACATCATTAAGAGGAAGAATGAATTATTTATCCCTGCTATTTTATACATCATGGAAGTAACCCCTACTTGTAGCAAAATTGAGAGACTGCAGAAATGTTTGAAGTTACAAGTGAGAGTCTCCTGCTTCCCTCCCTCTGCACTGCAGCTTTCAGCCCCTTAAACTGTTAACAGTTGGATGTATATCCTTCCAGAACTTTTTTATGTGGGTGTGAGCAAGCATGTGTCTAATTTTTATAAACTTTGGGTTATTTTCACTTTACAGCACGATTTAATTTCAGACATACTGAGTTTGAAGTGAAGTGATTTCAGTTAAAAAAAAACAAAAGAAAACAAAAAACACCACTTTTGTAAAGAGAATCTCGCCTTAACTTTGTATCTTTCTATCTCTATCCATTTTGTATGGTTTCTTCTAATGACATTTAAAATTTGCACATAGATTATCTTTCTGATCTAAGTGTTTTCTGTAAGTTTTCTGGGATTTAAAAAATTGATTCAGTGCCATACAGTTATCTCCCCTCATCCGCGGGGGATACATTCCAAGACCACCCCCCCAGTGGATGCCTAAAACCACGAATAGTACCGAACCCCAGATATTCTGTGTGTTTTCTCCTGTACATACAAAGCTATGATGACGTTTAATTTATAAATTAGGCACATTAAAAGAGTAACAACAATAGTGAATAATAAACAGAACAGTTATAACAGCATATTGTAATAAAAGTTATGTGAATAATCACTTTTTCTCTCTCTCAAAATATCTTAATGTGCTGCACTCACCCTTGTGATGATGTGAAATGACAAAATTCCTGCGTGATGAGATGAACTGAGGTGAATGACGTAGGCATTGTGACATAGGGTTAGGCTACTGCTGACCCTCTGATGATAAGTCTGCTGCTTCACTGCGTTGACTGCGGGCAACCGAAACCAGACAGAGTGAAATCTGGGATGGCGGGGAGGAAATGCTAGAGTTCATTCAAAAAATATTTATTGAGTGCCAGCTGTATGCCAGCCACAGTTTTAGGTTCCAGAGATGTATCATTGAACAGTGGTGCAAATGGAATGGACATTTACTAAGCATAGCATTCTAGTCATTTGATAAAAAACAGTAGTAGTAATATTTACTGGGCATTGGGGCACCTGGGTGGCTCATTCGTTAAGCGTCTGCCTTCGGCTCAGGTCATGGTCCCAGGGTCCTGGGATCGAGCCCCACATCGGGCTCCCTGCTTGGCAGGAAGCCTGCTTCTCCCTCTCCCACTCCCCCTGCTTGTGTTCCCTCTCTTGCTTCTCTCTCTCTCTGTCAAATAAATAAATAAATAAATCTTTAAAAAAAAATATTTACTGGGCATTTACGTTTGGGCCGTCACTGTTCATCTGTAAACTACTTCTGAAATTTATTCGGTACTAGCTGATTGTTATTGTGAATTGTCTGGTCCTCAGATCGTATTTCAAATTGACTTCAGGAATCAGCTTTCTAATATTTAAACAGTATGCTCTTTCATTTAAAATCTATTACATTCTTTCCAATAACTCAGTCTTAAGTATGTATAGTATATTTGATTCTGAGCTACCTATGAACCCAATACTTCTTAATATTTTAAAAAGTATTCATGGAATTTTCTTAAAGTAATTTGCTTGGCTTTTGACTTTGTTTCAGATGGCCGAACAGACCCAATTTTGGATGATGTTGGTGAAGCTTTCCAGCTTATGGGGGTTAGCCTTCATGAACTAGAAGACTATATTCACAATATTGAACCTGTGACTTTCCCACATCAAATTCCTTCATTTCCTGTTAGTAAGAACAATGTCCTCCAGTTTCCTCAACCTGGAAGTAAAGATGCAGAGGAAAGAAAAGAATACATTCCTGATTACATGCCACCCATTGTGTCTTCACAAGAAGGTTTGTGAGTTTGTTTGTTTCTTACTCATACATTTGTAACTATTTTAATTTTAATGCGTTTATAATCTTCTTAGTTTTCCTAAGTGAATTGTATAAAATGCTATGCCAATGTATAAATTCTAGAAATGCAATCAAGGTGTTTTAATGTTTACAAATTAGTCTAACCCTTAAGCCAACACACTTGGGTTGGCATCGCTAGGCAGAGCCATGGCACAGTCAAGGTTATGTCTGATGAGGCATCTGTTTCCTTTCGGAATTTTCAGTAGGGGAGAACAGAATGTGACCACGGAGAGAAGGCTTTCAAGAGATGTATTATATGGGAACGGGATATTAAATAAATTAGAAAATCTTTGCAACATAAAGGAAAAACCGGGGTCGTTCTTTTCCTCTCCTACTTATTGTAAATGTGAGTCGGATGATACTGGGAACAGAGAGTGAGTAAATATTCACTAGTGCTATGCAAATTTATCTCCACTTTTTAGTGATGAATAGAAATGTTTATTGTTTGGCCATACAGAATTTTTGATTAAAAAATAATAGCTATTTAGGCACAGTCGTCAATCACTGCAGAGGTCCTTCCTCCCTGCATGATTGTACATGTTGATCATTTAAGTTCACTAAGGCTCTTAAGAGATACATAGTAATTTGTGATCTCTCATGCAGGTACACAATATTTTTCCTTGTAAAAATGGAAAAGTTGCAATTCATTTCCTCTTTACCTTTATATTTGCACCATTTTACCTTCCACCAGCAATGCTTCAAGGTTCCAGTTTCTTGTCATTCATTTCTTATAATCTCCTGTTCCACTTTAATAGCATCTTGGAGTGCTCCCCATTTGTTTCATGGACTAGCTTTCTACTTGGAATCGTTGTACAATCTGTGTGTCAGTGTTGCCCCATTTGGAAAACTGGCCCTACGTGGTAGAGACTTATCGTGGGTTGGTGTATCTTCCTTAGACAGTTTGGATCTTGGGTGCAGGAGGCCCTCCCACAGAGTGCTGGTGCTGTCATTAATGGGTTGAGGATGCAGCACCAGCCCTGTGCTTGTTGGTAGCTATGTACATAGGGAAATTTAGATAGGTAGGTATCCTAGTTTTCTGAGTTGAGTGGCTCGGGAAGTTGACTTTGCTTGTCAGCTCAGCACTTCTCTACTGCAGGGTCTTGGGGATTTAATACTGACTGAAGCAGGAAGTCGTATCACCAAGTGCTTCACACAGAGTGTGCCTTTGGTAAATGTTCTTGAGCTGAGTGAGATGCTATTTATAAGGTCTTGTCTACAGAAGTTCGTTGTTTCTCCTCCTTTCCAGGATGACTTTTGTGTTACTAACAGTAGGACTTGGAGATCTACAGATGCGTCTCAGTCATCCCAGCTTCCCATAGGACCTGCTTAGAATTCTGTCTCCTCCTCCCCATTGACTTTTTTTGTGTCTGTTGCCTGTATTTTCAGGAAATCTTACCTTTTATAGCCCCCACGTAAGGTCTGTCTCTGTAAATGTCAGCATCTTTGACCTTAGAAACCTATATTTGTTACAACTTTCTAAACACATATTTGTTTACTTTAAAAATATAACCAGTGCATTTCAGTATCCACATTATCAAAGGAGGGTGTCTTGGGCAGAGGCCTGGTTAGTAGCTGGATTGCAGAGAATCCCATTTTCTGTTCTAGACAGGTCACGAATATCAAGTAGGCCTGGAATTTTCTTCTTTGCTGTTGTCACTCAGTATGATTTATTAAGCATCCTAGACATCAGACCCTGAAAGCAGTGCTAAGTTAGCCCATGATACGATCTCTTATGCTTGAAGAGTAATCTTTGAGTGGCTCTGAAATTTTTAGCTGAAAGGCCACTTAAAAGGACAAGAAATACAAAATCTGGAATTGTGCTAAGAAAGCCTAAATGGTAATCCAGTGCTGGGAGAGACCTTAAGGTGTTATACAGGAGGAAACTGAGGGAGCCACGCTAGTGTAAATAACCGGCGCGTCAGCGAGTCTCTGCATGATGGGTGATGATGAGTTTGATATCAGTGAATTAGCAGTAAGTTTCACCAACCAGGACTTCTGTGCATTATCAGTTGGCATGTTTTTGAACCAAAACTACTATCTTCTCCATTTATAACATTTATAGTCCATTTTTTCTGTGCCTTTTGGAGCTTTCTCAGTCTGTTTTGTGGTTTACATATCTTGTCTTGTCTTCTACCTCCTATTTAATAAATTGCTTAATTTTTTTTTCTGGCCTTTTAAAAAATCTGGACTCAGGTGGACATTTGATTAATCTTAACCCTTGATTTCACGCACAAGCTCATTATTGGTCCACGCATAACCTGCATTTATTCACATAGAGAGTTTATTGAATCATTTTTAATAATCTAATAAGCCCTGCCAAGCTCACTACTGAAAACTAAGCTCAGGGCTTTGGTAATCATCAACACTTAACCACTTAGTCCCTCTCGTTTTATTTTTATAGCATGCAAATGATACACAAGGAAATTCATGGTTAGCATTTGTAAATACTGCCACAGAAATGTAACTAAGATATCAGTAAAGGAGTCTGAAAAACAGTTTAGGGATTTTAATACTGACTTCAGTCTGAAATTGCTACAGTAAATTTTTGAGTCTCTCTTCTGAATTATTTGAAGTAGAATCTTACTTCATTTGAAGTTTTAGGCAATATAAATTACAAACATTTTGAAAGGAAAATAACATAAGCTTTGAACACTCCTTTTTTCAGCTAACAGTTATAGACTCTCTCAGGAGCAGAAATATGCTGATTCATAAGGTATGCATATGGTTCCTAAGGATGCAGTAAGCAATAGGCAGTACAGTAGGATGCTTACCAGTCCTCTTTCCCCTATTCAGGGAAAAGGATATCAAATGCAGTCCTGTGGTTACCGATTTTTAATATAGTCTCCCAAGTCAATTTAACAAGTCATTTATAATCTGAAATCTTTTTTTCCCCCCACGGGTACAGCATGTTAGAAAGTTCCTAGTAGTCTGGTTAGTGGTGCAGAGCGTGGTACAGGTGTGCACACCTGTGATAGGCTTGTTCACCAACTTCTTTATTTTCCTTTTATTTCCTTAGGAGCCACAGACAGGGCTAGACTTTGGTCAGAAAATATAATTAGCAAAGTATGGTCATGAGACTCCCCACTTCTCGATCCTTCAGCTTGGCTAGTGTCAGGAAAGCATGGGAACGTCTTGTCTGCTTGCAGCATTGTGAGCGCTGTGCTGAGGGTGTAGGAACAGGCGGTCATAGAGGCAACATGGGCCCTGAGGAGCCACTCGGGCGTGACTCAACGGGTTGTTGAGTTTATCGTCTGACCAACTTGCTTTGCCTTTCTGAACTTCATATGCATCATCTCTAAGAGGTGTAGTGATACCTACCACATGGGTGTCGGGGAGGGTTTTGTGAGACATTTGTATAGAATCGGACAGCGCTTTCCACATAAGACACAGAACAGTGAATGTTCGTTCTCCTCCCATTTCACCGTCCTCACTCTCAAGGAATTTACTTTTCAGTTGAAATAGCATATACATTTGTGAGGTAACTCTACAAGGAGAATAAATCTGGAACGGTGGTGATCATAGGCTTAGGGGCTGAGGGATGCACACCTAATAGCTGGGCCGTAGTAGATGCTTGACTGAGGAGCGGTGTGACTCTCCGCGGCACGGGGGTGATGCAGGAGATGACACGGAAGGAATATTTGCCTGTGTATCCAGTTGTATGTTTAGAAATGAGACGTCTCTGAAAATGTCTTATAAATGCACATTTTGCCTAGACTGTTCCAGTTCTGATGGCTGGTACCCGGTATGTTTTATCCAAGAACATTCTCTCCTCAGCTTGCCATACGTATTTTCAGATTCCCATGAGTAACATATTTTTTGCTCCTTGTTTTGTTGTGCTGAAGAATGTCTGCAAATAGCGTATTATGCCAGAATCATGGTTGGGTTCTGAGGGTGGTCACTGGATCGCTGGTCTGTGAGAGTCTTCTAGGTGGTCTCTTGATTGGTCCAAGCTGTCTGTGTGAGAACAAGAGAAATAGAAGCCATTTGCTTGGCTTTACTTACTATAAGAAATGTACCCACCTTAACTTGCACTTGGTAGAGATACTGTGATGTTTTGGGTTTCTTTCTTTTTTTTTTTTTAATTTCTAAATAAACTTTATTCTTTAAAATAGTTTTAGCTTTACCTAAAACTTGAGAAGGTAAATACAGAGTTCCCTTATATGCTGTACCCAGTTTCCCCTGTTATTAATCTTACATTAGTATGCTACATTCGTTATAATCAATGAACCATTATTAACTAAAATCCATTATCTTTAGTGTTTACCTAACGTCCTTTTTAGGTTCCAGGATCCCACCCAGGATGCTGATTATTTTATTGTCATGTCTTCTTGGCTCTTGTGGGCTGTGACTTCCTCAGACTTTCCTTGTTTTCGATGACCTTGGTAGTTTTAGTTATAGAATGCCCCCCTCCTGGAATTGGATCAGATGGGGTTTACTAGTGTTGGGGAGGAGGACCCCAGAGGGAAAGCTCCACAGTCCTCACGTTGTGTCGGGGCGCACACCGTGAACACCGTTTACCACTGTTGATGTTGACCTGGATCACCTGGCCTAGGTAGTGTCTGTGGGTTGTGTGCCCTTGAAGTTACTCTCTCCCCGCTTTCCACGTTGTCCTCTTTGGAAAGAAGTCGCCGTGCACAGACCACACCTGGAGTCGGAGACGCCCCTCCCTGAAGGTGGAGTATCTCCGTAAATTAAACTCTTCTGCAGAAATTATTTGGGGCTCTTTTGATTTGTCTCTTCTCCCCCCAGGGTTCCTATTTTTTTTAATGAAGCCCTTTTAAAAAATAAACATTTACAAGTTTAAAATAACAAAAGTAACGTAATCGTTGAAAAATCAACTGTCGTCCAAGTATACGAAGTATAAAATGAAAGGTCCTCCGCACTTTCCTTATGCTCCCATTTCCCAAGAGTAACCTTGTTCAACAGAGTCCTTCTCGATC